TCATGACGGCGGAATAAACGTGGTTTACTTTTGTCTCAATATTCGGTGAGTAATAAAGATAGAATGATATTTGTGTCGATTTGTGTTATGAAATTGGAAATCACCCATTATGGTCCATGCGTTGAATAAGCCATATGCCCGTCGTGTTGTTCCACGCTTTTCGACGTTGCAAAATCGCTGAATAAATGTCTGACATTAAACTTATGCTCACGCACCATCGATCGGCTGCATTTTTATTGAGCAACTTATCTCCGTGTTTGTCGACGCATTTCGATCTCACCGTTTCTCAACGTATTCTGTAATGCGCGAAATGTCCTAATTTCGAGATCGAATATGCGAGAACATATCTATACGTTATGTAGAAACACTCACGCAGCATGAAATTTCGATGAAAGTCTCTGCGATGAATTTTGTAAATCGATTTTGTGTGCCTTGACGAGAACTTCGAACTCTAGTGAAAATTTTTAACTCTAGTGAAAATTTTTTTTATTTATGGTAAAATCTATAGTATTTCTTAAAAATTAGAATTTTCATAGAATGTAAAACATTCTTAATCTTTTCTTTCTTATCTTTTCTTTCTTATCTTTTCTTTCTTATCTTTTTCTTTCTTATCTTTTTACAAAGATAAACGAAATTTTTTATGAAATAATCAAATTTTCTCTTTTGTGTGTAAAATCGTGATATTGTACAAAAAAGTCTAATGTGTTCTATTTTGATAAAATCCTTTTTTTTTACTATTTCATGTCCATTATAAAATTAGAGATTTTTATGATAGTTTTAATTTTTTTCAGAGATGGGACAAAACTAAATGCTTTTTAGAATAAAATTATACTTTCTCCGTTGATGTTATGTCTTCTCTGAACTCATATTTTTTATATAATAATAAATTTTCAATACTTTTTCAAGAAATTGTTGAATAATGTATATTTTTTGTAAAATTGTAATTTCTCCTACAAAATATGATTTTCACTAAACTTATTGTCAGCTAATAATAAGTTAATAATAAGTTTTCTTATCATGAGCTAATATATGAATTCAATGAAACTCATGCAAAAGTGCGAAAAAAACGTACTAAGTATGAAACAACTTTCGCGGTTACTGGCTGATGGTTTGTGTGCCATATTAATGTCCACGTTAAATGGAAACAATAAGGTTTAAGTTAATAATAATTTGTCAGAAATTGTCAAAGAAAATATGCTCAATATCAGTGAAAGACACAAAAATTGATATTAAACACAATGTATTATATTTGTTATATCTATTAAACAGTAATTCTTAGAAAAATAATATAATTATAAATAATACTGGCATTTATCTATATTTGTCATGATCAATTCTAATCCTAGATGTTTTTCAGGAAATTTTAATATTTTATAATAAATTCCTAAAGAAAAGAAAACATTATAGAAAATAAATTAATATTTTTAGAAAAGCGCTATTTTTTTCATTTTTACAAATTACATTTTTTCTCATGTTTTCTATATTTTTCTAAAACTATTTTAATCTATTGATTTTTTCTTAATTAAAAAAAAATTCAAAAAATTATTTTCACCAGGCCGAGCTTAAACGCAATTAAGCATCTCATTATTGAATGCAATTAAAAAGATCTCGACGAAAAAATTCTTTGTTTGCTTTTTATTCTTCAAATCATTTAACTTTATAATTTTGTGTCGCCACGTACCAGATTAATTTTTGCATAGTAATATTTGATTCCCATTATCTACCTCGCAGTAAACAAAAAATATATGATCGTAACAATTCTACTTTAGTTTATTTAGTGTGATAAATTCTAATCTTATTATTACAATATACACAGATAAGACGCTTAAATTGGGAGAGATATCTAACAATTTGAATGGACAGATGAACTAGCTTCTTTAATTGTGTTTCTACAGCACATATTGATAATTTCGCTACATAAATACGACTTCTATGTTACGCAAACACACCTGTTATATTGTCAGCACAATTAGCATTACAAGTAATCCACTGCTGTTATTAGCACTGTGGTGTTTATTTTGTAGCAAGCAAGACGGGTCTCGTTGCAGCTGATTGACGTTTTTGCAGTCATGTATCTTGATGTGAACTCTATCATACATTATTTACTGAAATGAACCTGGAAATAAATCATAAGCTTCCTAATTCATACAATTATACTTCTCATGTGCTCTGATCAGTTACGGAGAGAAAACGATGTCTATGAGCGCACACTACCGGATATAATTATTTAACACGATATTTTTCCGTTCGATTTCATTGCAAATCGGCAAGATATTCTAAAGAATCACGCGATTACGTCGCTCGATCTAAAGAAGTTCTGGCACTACTCTCTCGTAAATGAATATTTTATTAATGGAATTATTTGAAATAACTAGAAATAATTTTACAATAATATTAGTGAGATGAAATTCGTGAATGTCAATATATGTAAATATAAATGTTAATATATGTAAACATATATATTTTAAAAGTTCTCAAATAATTAAAAAATGACAAAATAAAAGTTGTAAAACTTTCATTTGATGTGAGTATCAGTAATCATTTAAAAAATATGGATAAAAAATAATATATATTCATGAAATGTATTCGATAAATAATCAGTTTAATTTAATTTAAATTGGAAATGTATGAATATATGTGTGCTATATTAAAATAAATAATAAATATAGAAGTAAAGTTTAGAAATTACATATGTATAAAGAAATTATAGAAGAAAAATTTAGAAATTACATATATATAAAGTTATTTAAGATCTAGCGTTAACTTTTCATGTAAGCGTTACCATGTTTCTATTCAAATATATCCGATTTCATGAATATTCTCATTGAAAAATTCCTCTCCTCGATGATAAATTTATGTGATGCTTCACTAAAATATGGACATAGGTTTATTTTATTATTATAATAGTTTTTGAAACATCTATTTTACATATAAGTATGTCAAATTAGAAAAAATTTGTTGTATTTTGAAGTTTTTACATAAGTTTGAACCAGAGCTCGGCAAAATCTGCACACTGCACCCAATTTTCAGCTCGCTCCGTAAAACACTATTCCCTTTTTATGTCTTTTACCGCGCGCGGCCTACAAGCCGCGCAAGGCTCAGTAACATAGACACATAAACTTATTTCCAATAGTTTCCACGTCACCCATAAGGTACTAATATTGACGCGTTTTCTTTTTAAATAGTATCCTTAGTAGACCTAATCCACTGATGATTGAAACGACCTTTTATGTTATTCAAAAGTAGCAGAATAAAATAATAAATTAAATGAAGAACTGACATTGCATAGTAATATTTGATTCCCATTATCTGCTTCAGTCCGACTTTCGGGATCTTTTACAGACGAAATTAGGAACATCGAGCTGCATATTACGCAGCAAGCTGTAAACTTTACCGCATTTTATGTGGAATGAGCTGAAAATCTGACAAAGTGTGCAAATTTTGCCGAGTTCTGGTTTGAGAGGGAATTATTATAAATTTATAATTAAATTTCTCGAAAATGATATAATGAAAATGATAGAAATTTCTATTATGTATTATTACTTCAATTAACTTTCGTATTATGTACATATTATAGATTCATTTCATATATAGTCAAACGCTCGAACCTCCTTAACTAGGGAAAAGCTATTTGGAGTCACTTCAAACCCCAACGATCAAAAAATAAAGCTTATCCATTGCCATGGGTTTTATTTATTATCCATAGCAATGGGTCTTATTTATTGATTGGGAATCTAAACTTACCTTTCACTTAAAGATCTAACCAGTGCAACGAGAACTGGTTATGTGACTTGTGTGATCTTATTTATAGCAGAAACCTGTAAAAACTCAATAAAAACTGGGTTACAAAATGACTCTAAGTGTTCGTTCACGTTACAAGATTAGTCAAGCATGATAAGAGTTCGTATTATAAATACAAAGTAATCATAAGTTTGAATGAGGTTACGCATATCTAATAAATTTTAAGCAACGTTTAAGTTACATCTGATACTGATAGAAATTTCTAGAAAAATAGATAGAGATGCAATTATCAAATATTTAATATTTATATTTATTGTTTATAATTAACATATAGAGTTAACATTAACATTTATTATAAGTGAAAAATGAATATTTTAATATAATATTTTATTATAAATGAAATGAATATTTTAAACTACATTTTTTATCCAGTATTAAATATAAAAAATATCTGTATTTTTAAAAATTTATCATTCTTTTTGTTTAAAAATATTTTTATGTTACACATTTATATAATAGAATAATGAAATATAAAACTAAGCTTTTTATAACTTTGAATCAATATTAATAATTCCGTATCGCGATTTAGCCTTATTTTGCATACTGATAAAATAAATGTTATTTAATATATTTCCAATATTTTTTAATAATTATTCTTTAAGAACCTTTAAATATAGTATCCCATTGAAAGTAGGCAATAAAACAGTGTTAAATTAATATCTTTATTTATTAAAAATATTGTTATAGTAAGACACTTAATGCCCTTATTCTGTTTCTAACATATTTTTTTGGTTTCTCCTATTTTTTTTCAAACAGTAGCGAATAAATCTATATTTACAGTGTGCTCATATAATAATAAATAATAGAACAATCAATAATATACTATATTTTGTTAGTAATAGCGACTTTTATTTGGGGTCTAAAATGTGACTTATGTAAGGTGATTTACGTAAGAAAAAATATAAGATGATTACTTCCGGGTTAACAGAAACGACAGTGTTACGTCATTAAATCGTAAAATCTCGATGAGTCGCTGTTGTGACCAGGCGACCGAATTACAGAGCGCGTTATCGAGCCTATCTGAATCACCTGGATCGGCGAGTCACAGGCGGCCTTTACTTTCACATTATTCCAAATATTAGTATGTACATACGCAGCGCGGCTACAGTGTTCCCGTAATACCAATCGTCGTTTCACGCGCATACCTACACCGCCTGCTTCGCGGCTGGCCGCCTGTCAGTCGCAATGTACGAGCGCGTATGAGCGGTACCGTCGGAGTTGACGACGACGAAGCAGCGCGAGACAACGACGACGAACGATCGATCATTCCTCGAATTGGCTCGTGTGCGACGCGAACATTCGCATGCCGTAGCACCACGTGCGCCCACCTGAGTGATCGCCGGCTCGTGATTGACATAACCGGTTCGGTCTTGATCCGCAACATCCGCGATAGTCGTCGATAAGATGTGCCAGGTAAATTTGCGTCACACTCGCGTCGTCCGACTAACGTTCATTCTAATGACGTTATGTTCACGTTGGATAATTTTAATTATCGCGGCTTAATCGATGTTCGCCTGAAGATACTGTCAGACTGGATTAAAACTGGAATAAAAACTGGTCCCAGAGTTTTCAGTGATTTTGGGATTTCATCAGAGAATGATTGGGAAGGAGAAAGAGTTTCCATTGTGAGTTCTCTTTACAAAGGTACGCCTTTTGTACGCTCGTGATTTGAAGAATACAATGGCGCGGGTAATGGAATTGAAAGATCCAGTTTGCCGTTTCGAGATGGTGTTTTACGATTCTTCAGTAAGAATCGGGTTGATTCTGTCGAAACGAACCTGTCGTCCCCGAGGATTATCTCCGAGAATGAAGGCTCGGACAACAACGAGTTTGCGTGGGTAGTGGAATCGTGCGTGTATCTTTGGTTTTGTATAATTACACACGATGTCAAAATAGACGACGATATTTCAGAAGTGATGAGCAGATGACTGGGTTTGAAGGGTGAGTCGGATTTTAAATTGAACGCCGGTTCATTGATTCACTTCCATTCACCTCATCAACATATTCGATTAATTCTCTTGATTGCGGCTGCTTTGACGGCTCATCGCCGCATACTTTCTCTCTTGGAATGCGAGTTTCTCGTACCGCGTGAAAATTTCATCTTCCAATGTTTCGATTAGATACAAAATTGAATGAATGTAGGACCGCAAATCGTTTTTATTTTTGAGTTCTTGTTTATCAATATATGGATTGCTTATCTATGCAATGTACAACATTCGGCGGGTGTTATTGGAACGTAAATTCTTAATGCAGAGCTATCGCGATCGCGAGGAAATTATCTCTTTTAGATAAAGAATATCTGCATAAACCACAACAAACATCACGTGTAATATAAACATAATTGTGTGAGGATTTCTTATCCGACGGAAGCATTCGCTTATATATATAATATTTCAACCTTTTCAGATAAACACGAGGCTTAATATAAAATACTTATAAATTTTGATGTTGAAATCAATTTTACGCTGAATTAAATTTAAAGATACATGCAATATCGTTAAAATTATACTACTTATAATTATATATATTATAAGTATTTATATATTAAGTAATTATATATTATTATAATAATAAGAAAATCTACGTCGTGCTTTTAGAAATAAAATATTTTAAAGACTAATGCAGCTCTCTCTCTCTCTCTCTCTCTCTCTCTCTCTCTCTCTAATGTAAACAATCACAATACAATTCATATAAGGGGTCATTCATCAATTATACTAAATTTGAATATTTTTAATCCCCCCTCCTCTTCGTTATAATTTCGTTATAAAGTATTTGCTCCTTTCCAATATTCCAATATTACATGTGAATTATATCCCTTCCTCTCCGCCGACACAGAATAAAATAAAATAGCTTATAATCATATTGTAAGTAATAATTATTAGACTGTACGTTACTATTCTTTCTAAAATACAAATTGTTAGGCATGTAATACCAAATTTATTTATTTATTTTATAATTTTGATTAAAAGTTTTAATTAAGAGTAAAAGCTATATTCTTACTAATGCAAAGTGGATAATCACGCATATCTATATTTACAAGTTAGCCATCTAATGTGACGTTCCGTGGACTTTACTCCCCCACTCCTTCCCTATCATCACAGACCATCACGCAAGCTATTAAACCCCTCCTCCTTCGTGATGTGACGTAATTGTTGGATGACGGTTAAGCCATTAATAGTCGACACATAATGTAAGATGTGCAAAAATATATTCTTTAACGCTTAATCTTATATATGATCAGACATTTCGGTCATTTCGATCCTCTTTAACAAAAAAAAGTAAAAATGTAGTATGTAATACTATTGTTTTGTGGCCTTACTTTGTTGTGTGACTTTACTTTCTATAAAGAAGGCTCTTATTAGTTTATACAAATTAACAAATTTTTACATGAATTAAGTAAATTTTACTTGGATCAAGTAAATATAGATTACTTAATCTAAATAAAAATTTGCTAAGGAATATTGGAATAATTATTTACTTGAATCTAGCATCTAGTACTTCTTTCCTGTATATAAATTATATTTTCAGAAATGAGTTTCCTTTAAGTAGTATTATGCCTAAGTAATTTTTTAATTATCTAGATATAAATGAGATAGAAATATAAAAAAATCATCTTAACTCGGATGAAAATTATCTCATTCCGAATTTATCTAGATAAAATAAGAAAATACAGCGATTCATTTAGATAATTTCCAGATAATGTTTTTACGAATTACCATTTATATAAAAACATTTATGAAAAAATTATAGGAAAGAAATATGCAAGATGTCCCAAACAAATCTTCGTTCCCCTGGTGTGCAAGTAGAACAGGTGAAACTGAGCAGAAAAGTCCTATACCATTTAAAAATAATACACAAAATTTCGAGCTATCAATGATTGAAAATGGTCATGTTCCCATCGTCGTAGTTGTGTTACGGATTTGTGTTATGGAATTAACCTTTTTAAACCATTGTTTAACTATTTCAAGCGATCTTGGTTTTGTTTTACCGCTCCTCCTATATTCTAACTTGTCTTTAATAATCACTCAATATTATTGCTTCAACGAAACTATAAACAATTTTTTCCGGAAGAAATTCTTCATTTCCATGTTCTTCTGATAAATCAACTTTTTCTACTTCTACAATCTCATATCCATTATAAAAATCTAAAGTGTCTTCTTCTTCCAACTGAAATTCTTTATTATTTTGTATTTCTTCTAACATATGTTATGTTATTTTGTATTTCTTCTAACATATGTTGAATTTTTTCATTTACTTCAATTTCATTCGAAGTTATCGGATTTGTGGAAGGTTGAAAGCAGTAAAAGTTACATAGAATAACATTATTACATTATATGAATTAAACATCATTCTGAAAAATATTAAAATTATGTATTTATTACACACATGAACTTTTTGATCATATGAAAAATAATATACACCTTATAATGAAGTGGTTTTCTTTAGTTAATCCAGCCTTTTTCTCTTCTATCTTTATTGATAACAAAGATATGTAGTATAGTCCAAAATAAATAAATTCATCAAAACGGAGTAATAATTCTGCGTTTTGTATTGTATCGTAAAAATAGGGAGACAGTTATACAATATAGAATAAACATTTTAAAATTTAGAGCAAGCGAAAGAAATTAACATTACCAGTAAGGAATAATTTTAGTAGATGCTGAATCAATTTAGTACGTGATAACCAGAGAATGACATGAAAAGTGTTCAACGGGAAGTGTTCAACAAACTTTTGTAATTCGAATAATATTAAAGCAGAATAACAAGCATAAAATAGTAATAAAAGTTAATACATATTTACGTATTTACAAAATGACAGAATACAACGCACAGTTCTCTATGTTAACATCTCATGAGATGTAATGCTAACTTTCCGATATTACGAACGCTTATATATTGACTATATTACACAATACGAACTAATACAAGCTAATGATCCTAATGAAAAATACATTTCAGGCTTATAAAAGTCAGACACCGGATAAAAGTGTGTTAATTTACAAATAATGTAGCTACTTATATAAAAATATCAATGTTACAATCGTTTCGCTCTCCTTCATACCCTTTCAACGAAATAAATATGTATATAAATACAAAAAAAGTTTGACACCATATTTAATTCTATTTTCTTGGATTGATCCAAATCTCTTTTAAATTTTATTTATTATATTGAAAAGCATCTGAAGAAAACTGAAATGTTCATAAAATTGATATTCTTATGTAATTGACTTTTACATTAACGTGCCTTTATCCTGTATCTAGTTTTTATTAGGGGGACTGGAAAGTAATGTCGTTTTATTACATTAAATTCAAACAGATAAATTTTTAACAAGTTTTAACTTTTAATCAACGATGATTAATCACCCTCGTTATCAACAACCTTTTGCCATCTAGTGTGCAAATTTTCAATGCCAGATCAATAAAAATCAATTGGTTTTTGAGCAATATCTGGAGAGGGCATTTTGGATATCATCCAAATTTTCAAATTTTTTGTCACGTAGAAAGTGATGTAGCGATCGGAATAAATGGAAATCCGATGGTGCAATGTCGGGCGAGTGTGGTGGGTGAGGCAGTACCTCCCACTTCAATTCATTAATTTTTTCCAGAGTTCGTCTTGCGCAGTGCGGTCTTGCATTATCGTGTTGCAGAATAACGTCTTTTCTGTTGACAATCGTTGGACACTTTTCAATTAAAGATTGATTTACTCGATCCAATTGATCACAGTAAAGGTCTGAATTCACATTTTGTCCAGGTTTCAGCATTTCAAAATGAACGATTCCGCGAATACTCCACCAAACACACAAAAGCGCCTTTTTGGGATGTAAACCTGACTTAGTAGTACTTCGTGGCGATTTATTCGGATAGAGTCACTGTCTTTTGCGTTTTGGATTATCATACAGGACCCATTTTTCGTCTCCAGTGATCAAGCGATCAAAAAACGCTATATATTTTCTGTATTGTGCCGTTGAAGCAATAAGTTGCATGTGGTGGATCGGTTAATTTTGTGTTCTCCGGACAGATTATGCGGGACCCAAACACCTGCTCTGCTTATTTTATCAATCTGCTGTAAATGTTCTTGGATAGTCAACCAAGGTTGGTTAAGAGTGTTTGACAGTTCCTCGATTGTCTGACACAAATTTGCTTCCACTTCCGCCCTTAACACGTCATTGTCTAAAGTTGTTGGTCTTCCTGATCGATACGAGTCGGAAAGATCACAATTACCCGATCTGAACTTAGAAAACCACCTTTAGCATTTACGAACGTCTAATGCACTTGGATAAACATCGCAAATGGTAGCAACTGTTGCGTTACTACCCTTGCAAAACTTAAAAAGCATACAATGCCGGATATGTACCTCTTCTGGTATTTGGCTGGCCATTTCATCATAAATTACAAAAAAAAATTTAAGATTTAATTATTTACAAGTAAACAAGTAACCTTAAAATGTCTTTGGCACAACTTTGAAGTACACAATGAGCTGATAAATGACAAACGAATATCGACATGCGCAGAAACGACATTACTTTCCGGTCTCCTTAAGGGAGTAGCCTAGTGCGGTGCCACACTACTAGAAATATTTTGAAAACTTATTCTGAGTCTGCTTCATCAGTTAAAACATGTGAATACTGATTCGACGAATCAAAAGTAATGATTTTGATTTAAAAGACAAAGAACGTTGGTCAATCAAAAAATTCGGAGATATCAAAATGCATTGTTGAACGAAAACTCAGCTCAAATGCTTAAATAATTAGCTAAAATATTAAATGTTGATAAATCAATCGTTTGTAATCATTTATACGCAATGAAAAAAATGTTTAAAAAAGCGAATGGGTTCCATATGAATGATTGTCTGAATTGGCTATTCAAAATCGTTTATTCGCACTTCAATGCTTTCTAGTCACAAAAAGGAACAATTTCTATATCAAATTTTAACTAGCGAT